GCTGAAAGCCTTTGACAACCAATCTTGCTTTGTAGCATTTGCTCCCATCATGCTCTTCTTTGATCATGTAAATCCACTTGTTATGGAGTGCTTTCTTGCCTGGTGGTAATTTAGCTAATTCCCACGTCTGATTTGACATAAGCGAGTCCATCTCATCTTTCATGGAAGACTCCCACTTGACTGAATCCTCCACTTGCATTGCTTCATCATAGCACTCTGGTTCACCATTGTCAGACAGCAACAAGTAGTGCAAAGAAGGAGAATACCGCTGGGTTGGTTTAGGAATTCTAGAGGAGCGTCTTAGTTCCGGTGTGTCTGGTTCTTCTTGAACTGCTTCAGGACTGATCTGAACATCATTTCCAGAAATCTCCTCGAACTCAGCAGATTCCTTTGTTTCAGCTTTGGTATTCGAACTGCTTGATTCTACAGTTGACCTGTCTTTGTACATCACATTCTCATTGAAAACAACATCTCTGCTTCTGATGATCTTCCGATTTTCATAGTCCCAAAACCGGTAACCGAACTCATCACCGCCATAACCAACAAAGGCACATTTGTTGGACTTAGCATCAAGTTTACTTCTTTCAGCAGAGTCTATGTGTACATAAGAAATAACCAACCACTCTTAAGTGTGAAAGATTTATTTATTTCTTGCTCAAAACTTCCTCTGGTATTCTGTCATCCAAAGGAACCGAGGGCCCACGGTTGATCAAGTAAGCTGCAGTGTTGATTGCTTCAGCCCATAGAAATTTGGGCAATTCGGCATGTATCCTCATGCTTCTGGCACGTTCATTCAGAGTTCTATTCATACGTTCTGCTACGCCATTCTACTACGGTGTCATGGGAACTGTTGTCTCCATCTTGATCCCATTGTTTGCGCAGAAATCTCTGAATCTACGATTTCTGTACTCTCCTCCATTGTCAGACCTCAACCGCTTGACTTTCAGACCAGTCTCATTTTCCACCATGACCTTCCATTTTCTGAAGGTATCAAAGACTTCTGATTTTTTCTTCAGAAAATAAACCCACACCTTCCTTGTAGAATCATCGATGAAGGTGACATAATATAATGAGCCTGCAAGATATGTAATTGGAGATGGTCCCCATACATCAGTATGGACCAACTCTAATTTTTCAGCCTTGGGTGTCTTACCAATCTTTGCAAAGCTGACTTTCTTTTGTTTGCCAAAGATGCAATCCTCGCATAGTCTGACATCTACATTCTTTAGATCCGACAGCTTCCCTTTTGACAAAAGTGTCTTCATCCCTTTCTCGCTCATATGACCAAGCCTTTGGTGCCATAGGTTTGATTTTCCATCAGCATCTGCTGCAACAATGATATTCTCTAAATTTGAGGTTATATAGAGAGTACCGGTCTTCTTACCACGAGCAATGACGAGTGCTCCTTTGGTAATCTTCCATTCACAGCCTGAAAAAGTTGTGCTATATCCTTCTCAAACAAGCTGTTCTACAGAAATTAGATTTCTTTTGAGGCCAGGAATATGTCTTACTCCTTTCAGCGTCCAGGTGGTCTGGTTTGGCAACTTTAGACGGATGTCTCCTTTTTCGACGATCTTCAAGGTTTCATCATCAGCTAGATGAACCTTCCCAAAATCACCACTGACATAGTACTCCATGATTTCTCGGCATGGGGTGGAGTGGAAAGATGCCCCTGAATCCAAGATCCAGGATTCAATCAGACTGTTAACGCTTAGAATCATGGCATCACCTATCTCCTCTGTCATGTTTGCAAATTCCTGTGCGTCGATATCTTTTTTCAGTGCTCGACAATCCCTTTTAAAGCGACCCTTCTTGCCACAATTATAACAGGTAAAATCTTTCTTTCCCGTTCTTGATTTTCCCCGTCTGGATTTTGATCTGCCACGATTTGAATTTCTTTCTGAAGTTCTCCCTCTGGACTCCGTGTGCAAGGCTGAGGAGGTTGATGCTTCACCCGATTCTCTCCGTCGAATTTCTTCGCTCAGTACCAGATCCCGAACATCGTCGAATTTCAATTTACTATTTTCCGACGAGCTGCTAACTGTTGTAACAGTTGCATTCCAACTGTCTGGTAGAGATGATAAGAGAATTAAAGCTCGAACTTCATCATCGAATTCAATTTCCACAGAACTCAACGGGTTGTGATTATGTTGAGTTCATTAAGGTGTTTAGCCACTGATGCCCCTTCCGTCATCCGCAAATTGAATAATCGCCTCATCAAATGAACTTTGTTTGAGGCCAATGACTTCTCATACATACTGGAGAGAGATGCCATAAGACCCGCCGTGGTCTTTTCCTTTTCTATGTTGAAAGCAACATTTCGGGACAACGTTAGTCGGATAACTCCGAGGGCTTGTCGGTCGAGAAGAGCCCAGTCTTCATTCTTCATGCCCTCTGGTTGTTTTCCTGAGAGGGGTTGATATAGATTTTTCTGGTACAGAAAATATTCGATCTGCATCTTCCAAAAGCCAAAGTCCGCACCATCGAACTTTTCAATTTTCACATTCCCTTCGTCTGCAACTATCGCTCCCACTCGAATCTGGCTACTTCGGATCGTTTCTGACAATTTGTGCGAACCACCGTGTATTATAACACCTCCGTCGACAAATTCGTATCGCCGATAAAATTTTACTATTCACGAAATTTACTATTCACGTGAATAGTAATGAATAGTAACCTCGTAAAAAATTGACAAAATTCACAACCAAAAGCTCTGATACCAGTTGTTGGGAAATAAACGAGTAACAAGTAATTTCGCTATAGCCAGATTAGTGAGAATACGAAATAAAAGTGGAAAAATAATACCCGAAAAATTGATAACGGAGTTCAGCCAATTGTGCTTACGTCTCCGAACTGCTGCAGATCTTTTACTAAAGAGAAAAATTACATGTGTTTACAAAATACACTTGAGAGAGAATTGGAAGATTTTGGGATGATTTTCAAGCTAAATGAGCTAGGGTATTAATAGTTGAAACTTAGGGACTAATCTTTGAAAATACCCTAAAGTTCAATGACTCAATTTTATAATTATCCCTATTACTAAATAATAAAATATTTAGCAGCACATGTTTTAAATTCAAGCAGCCACTGACTGCTAGCTTTTCTTTGACCAACAAACAACAAGTCCTTTAACCACCAATATCGCTTGATTTGTACATAACTAGCACGATGTTGCATGAAAAGCTGCACAACTATTCTTTATAAATAGGTTAAACTATGTATTTAGTTATCATTGAAAAAATAATATTTTTCTCAAAATCATAATGTTTTGATCACTTACTATTAAAAAATTAATTGTGATGCTATCATGTCACCATAAGATAATGTTATGTTATCATTGAAAAAATAAATAAATAATTATAATGTCAGTAGTTTTGTTTATTTTTTAATGGTGGGTGGCCAAAACGAAACCAAAACATAATGTTAGGTACGCTTTTGAAAAAATAGGTTGTGATCAAAATGGAACCAAAGTGATACTTGGGTGACCAAATGCATAATTTACCCTTATAAATATATTTTTTGTTTAAAATATTTTTCTTACTCGTTTTGTGAGTCAAATGAAATAAAGCTAAAAATAAATTAATTATGGTTAAGAACAATTATTTGTAAAAGAATAATTTTATTAATCAGACTAACATGATGATAAGTGTTTTCTTAAATATATTTAATATTTTTAAAAAATATTTTATTTTATATAATATTTACCTTTTACCTATATTATAGGAGTATTAAATAATAATCCATGTTAAATTAATAAAAGAAAAGTATAATAGACATTGGATCTATATACTTATTTTATTTTTATGAAACCTATCATATTTTTTTGATGGATTAAAAATAAAATACATATTAAAATACATAAATTTTAATCAAATTTAAAATACGATAAAAGAAACTTTGATTTGGTACTATAATATATAAGTATTCTCTCTCACACACACACACACGCACGTACGTGTGTGTGTATATATATATATATATATATGATTAATCAATTTTTTGTACAATTTCACGGTAATATTGTACGAATAATACTCATTTTATATTTGTTTAAGTAAATGACAAATATTTATATTTGGGAAAAATATACTATTTTGGTAAAAATGCATCAAGTAGGAGGGTCTTTATTGATGTGACAGTTTCATTGAACGATATTTCTAACGTTGACGATATCTAAGATTAAAATGAAAGAAATAAAAATAATACATACAAATTTAAAACAAATTGTATGAATTTTATTAAAAAAATAACGCGGCATGGAACATGCCAAAGACATATATGAGCACGAGTCGGATATATAACAATGCACATGTATCAACTTTATCTTCAATCACTCAATGAGTGTATATTTAGAATGATATAATGAAAGGCTTGCAAAAACACATATATAAAACAATATGAGATTTAAAAATCTCAATGTCAATTTTTTTTTGAGTTGTTAAAGATATTTCTTAAATTTGATTAAACTCATATCAGTACGACAATTAAAGATGGTTCTTAAATTTATTTGTCGTACTAATATGAGTCTGATCAAGTTTAAGAACTATTATTGACAACTCAAAATCAACAAGTATTGATCATGTTATTCTTAAATCTCATATTGTTTATATATATTTTTTTCAAGTGTTTTAGCTTTCTAAATGTGCATTGCTTCTTTTTTTTAAAATGAAATTCATATATTTTCTGTAAGTTTTTGACCCGTTATTCTAATTTCTTTCATTTTAATCATAAATAACGTCAATATTAAATGTTTCATCTAAAAAATTACTACATAACACACCTTTTAAAAAACGTTTAATACGTAATATATAATATCAAAAGTATGCAATTTTCCTAAATATAAATGTTTGTAGTGCCATTTATTTAAATGAATATAAAATAAATATTATTTTCATAATTTAACCCTATTTCACAATATTTTTTAAAAATGATTTTTGTCAATTGTAAAAGCACTAGGGCCTGGAAAGGTTCTTGAGCCCAATGCACGAGATTAGGGTTTATACAAGAAAAAGGCGGTTTATGTAATAACTGCAATTTGTAGCCGTTGCGCCAATCTTTCCCGTTTAAATTTCTATAAATAATTGAAGAAGAAAAAAAGTAATTTTTCAACGGATGCAATGGCCGCCGCCGTTATCTCTTCACTGTCAAAGAGCTTCGGAAAAATTCCTCCATCAGCCATACCACCTATGTTGGATTGTATATTGACTTCAACCGTCTTATCTCCGTCGTCACTTTTCTCTTCTCTTCTGGACGATCTCCCCGAGCTCATCGAGGCAAGTTTCTTTTCCTACTCTGCGAAAACCTAATAGGAAAATCACAATCAGCGTTTTCTTTTATGCAAAAGAAGCAAACTCTACTATTTGTTCTTTTATTTTCCATCTTTTTCATAGCAAATTATTCATTTTGTTGTCTTATTATTAGAGTGCTAATAAGGATGGGAAATTGGATTCTGATCGTCGTAACAGTATTGCGTCAATGGTTGGAGCATTATGCCATCTTCTTACTAAAGCGAGTCAGTTATTCTTCCTCTTCGTTTTCTGTTGACACTTTTCAACAGGAAGATGTAAACCTAGTTCTTTCTTTGCTTATCTTAGTTTATTTCTGATTTTATCGTTTATTTTATTCGTTTTGGTGACTCTCATCTAGCTCATGAAAAGGAACTGAAAAGCCCGTTGGAGAATAAAGTGAAAACAAGTTCATGTTCACTGTACTAAGAGACTACCGTGGCTGAATTAATTGTCACCTTGGGTGATATTGAGATTATTAATCTAGTATTATCTACGTTTGATCTGTTGTAGATGAAACCTAAAGAGACTTTTTATTCTTGTTTTCTTGATGAGTATCAATGTTTTGATGAAGTTCATTACTAATGGTAGTTTCTATGCAGAGACTAATCATGAAGGCCTACAGTCTTTTATATGGGAAGGTTTTATTCCTCTGATGAAAATGGGACATGAATTTGACCTTGAGCTTCTTAACCAGGTAGGATAGTTTTTTATTTACAGTTTTGACATCTAATAACGTGCATCTACTTCTTTGTTTTCTCTTTTTATTTTTACGGTTAGGTTGAATGCATGATGTTTGATTTTAGATTGCAGATTTGTTCTTTGATATTGTGCAAAGGACTAATGCTTGGGAAGTTCTGGATGCAACTTTGGTATCTTTTTCCCTAAGGTCTATTGGCATTTCTGCTGGTATGATTCAAAATGGAGATTTGCTTGGTACCGGGGTTGATAGAATATCAGTTTTCCATGTCTCAAATGACTTGCTTAAGAATATCAACGAAAATTTGGATTCTAGCATGGATTGTACACTTTCTACATCTGAATATTTCCCCTTGCCTCTATCATTCCATGTTCTAAGCATTACTTTGGATGCTGGACTACAAGCTTTTCAAGCTGCTCCAGTTACATGCTCATTTCTGGAAAATGTGTGTTATGTTGAAAAATTCACAGCTAATTTACTTTATAATTTGTGTAATGTGACTGAAAGATTACTTTTACAAAGTTTGGAAAATCGGTCTTGTACAATTTGCTTTCTTCTGCCTGTCATCTTCAAAACATTTGTTTCTCACAGTTCTTTTAAAACCTCAGTTCATGGGCAGACACATATACTTTCCAGGTAGTGGTTCCTAGCAAATTGTGTTTGTTAGTAATATTCTTTTTACCTTTTTAACATGACTTGATTACTGACTAAATCCGGTTAGCTTGCAGGAATCAGTTCTTTATGAGAATGTGGACTTGCTGTGGAAAACTGTTCTCCCTTGGATCGTTAGAGAGGAGAGATGCATACAGGATACTTTCCCTATATTTGTCTTATTTCTCTTGTAGTGTAACTTTTGAAAACACTAAGATAACTGATGCAACAGAGGAGTTCGATATAAGAAATGAAAAAGAATTTTGGAATGAAATCAAAAGAGGATTGGTATTTGACCCAATCTTTTCCCCCTCTTCTTGTTGATTTTGGTTTATCTAACATATATTAACTACCTTCACTTCCTTTTCATTTATTATCACTTTATTTGTTGGTGTGTCAGGTTGATGATGAGAGCCTAGTGAGGAAACAAACATTGCATATACTGAAGAAACTGTTATGTATGAGTAGTGGGAACCAACAACATTTTGATATTTTAGAGAAGAGAACCCAAGGGAAACATTCAGTTCCTCATGGTGTGACAAAGAGAGAGCTCTGGGCTTATAACGAAGCAAAGTCACTGGGGGTAGGGGAAGTCTGCAGCTCAACTGATTCAGGCTTGAATAGTCGGCAGCAATGGGAAGCTTTCATACTCTTATTTGATATGCTTGAAGAGTATGGTACTCACCTTGTAGAAGCTGCTTGGAATCATCAGGTACCAGATAAAATCCATTTTTTACTGAAAGTATGGTATGATCTTAGATAGTTTAATTAGATAGACGTCTAATCATCTTTTTTTCATTGATAGAGGAGTAACCTATGATGATGATGATAGAAAGATGCTAGTATGGAATTTTTATTTTATCTAATTGACAAAGCTAATTTATGGGATAAATAATGCCAACATTTACATGTTCTCCCAAGGGAAAGTAAAAAGAAAAGAGTTACCAGGGGTTGATTTCAACAACATTGATGAGAACTGTAGCGCATGATGTTTGAATGAGAAAATGTTTAGGCACTTGGATGTGGAGCTAATGTTTGAAGAAATTAGTTAAATTTATATTATCCAAAATATTGGAGTACTTTCATGGCCCTTTCTGAGGATTATTTAACTACTTGTAGCATATCTATAAGGTTTTTGCTAGTCTGCGTCTTTTCCTGAAGTGGTTATTTTTTTGGCACAAAATATATGATGAAAAGATATTGATAATTGTTTGACTTAGTTGACTAATTATGTTTAAGGAATATCCACGCAATCAACGAGTTTCCACTTGCATAGTGGCATGTCTCTAATGTATTGTGTTCCAATTGTTGTTACCAAAAGGAAGTAACCTGTATTTAGTGATGCTAATTTTTCCCTTTCTTTTCTTTGTGATGCAAAACTCTTTTAGAAACTCAGTTGTAACCTACCTACTTGCTTAATTGTTTTGGTTTCTTACAGATAACTTTGTTGCTTCAATTTTCCGTCTCACATGATAATTTTGTAAGTGCTATTAGTGGAAGTGTCCATCCAACTCAGTCAGAAACTTGGACTGAAGTCTTTAGCTGGTTATCGATTTTGTGGAAGCGAGGCTTTTGTCATGGTAATCCTCAAGGTATTGATGTCATCCTGCATGACCTTGATTAGTGATGGGTTAATTGATGGTTTATGGTAAACTTTTTCATAATGTGTTCATGCTCTCTTTCTTTCTGAAACAATGCAGTTAGGTGCATGATCATGCAGTCATTTTTGGAAATAGAATGGATAAAATATGGAAGTTGTGTGAAGTCAGTACCTGAGAGTTTTATTCTTGGTTCATTGATGGAAGCTTTGAATGATCCAGTTCACCACAGTGATTTTGGTTTGCCCTGAATCTGATTTACTCCCGTTCTAAGTTTGCTAGTGTGGAATATTTTGTGTTATCTGAATAAAATTGTTCTCTTATATCTCGTATTGACAATAGGTATTAACTATTTATAGTTCACAAGGAATGACTAATCTAGGAAAGTTTTAATTACACAATATCATGATTATTTTATGCATTTACAACATGTTATCCTATTTCTATTTACAACTTGCATTGACTAGGATTGTCAAGAAATAATTTCCTAGAGATCAGCAACCAGATTATTAGGGGTATAATACCTTAATTTTTTTAATCCAAATTTCTCAGATTGTCAACACCCCTCCTCAAGCTGTTGAGTGAGTTCTTTCCATTCCTATTCTGTTGGTGATACTTTGAAATGTTGTATTTGGGAGTCCCTTTGTTTAGATGTTTGCCAGTTGCTTGTTGGTAGGAACGTACAGAGTGAAAATGAGTTCATTCTCAAGTTTTTCCTTAATGACAAGACTATCGATTTCTTAATGTTTTGTTCAGTCCTGTTGTATGAGATTGTATGTAATATTGATAGCTGACTTCTTGTCACATATATGTTGAGCCATTGCTTGAAACTTAGCTTTAGCACTCGATCTAGAGACCACCGATTGTTTCTTACTCCTCCAAGTTATAAGGCTACCTCCAAGAAAAATATATACCTTGAGGTGGATTTATCTAAAATTAGTCCAGCCCAATCTGCATCGGTGTATGCCTCCAAGTTGAGAATTCCAGTTCGTTTGAATAGGATTTCTTTGTCAGTAGTGCCCTTAAGGTATTGAAGGGCTTTGTATGCAGCTTGTAAGTGTACTTCTCAAGGATTGTGCATAAACTGAATTTGAACACCTACTGCATAAGATATGTTTGGTCTTGTATGAGGAAGATATATGAATTTCCCAATCAGTCTTTGATATCTTCTTGTCAACTTCTAAATTGTCTTTAGCTTTTCCTAGCTTGTCGCTTAGATAATGGGTCATAGAATACTTACCTGATTGGATCACGGAACATGATCCCACTGGCTTCTCAAGTTCTGTTAGGAAGATTTGAAGTTTTTCAAACGTCTTCCTTATTGAAACCACTCAACTCTTGGGTTGCAGCATCTCTAGTGGGTATGAATTTATCATCGGACGAAACTAGTTCAGGAGCCATGAAAATGGAGCTTAATGAGGAAAGGGAAGATACTTATATAAAATTTTCATGAAACAATGCTTGAGTTTAGTTCATGTTTTATTCTTTGTAGTTTTTTTATAGGAATAGAAGGCATCATTAAAAACCTCCCTCATAGATAGCTCTTTCCCAACAGAAAGGATCCACTATTGGAGGGAGGAAAAGAGTGCCTCGTTTTATTGCTGAACCAAAATTACATAAAACTTAACAATTACACCAGAAATCCTGACATAAAACTTAATAACTCCACCTACTTGAGAAACCTACTGACTGGGAAGGACAATAACAAGTGTCTATAGTCTTACAATCAACCAATCCCCATCTTTGCTAAACTATCTGCCTCCCCATTACAAGCCCTTGGAATCAACCTAATTAACAACACCTTTTCAGAGAAGAGTGATAGAATTTCTTTAACTAGAGGCAATAAGAAAACAGGTGCTTACGCCGGAAAGTGAACCCACTCCACTGCTGACTTGTAATCACTCTCAACAATCAGCTTAGTGACAGAAAACCATTGTGATGCCAAAAAGATTTCAATGCCTCTTTTAATAGCCTTTAACTCAGCAACTGGTGGGGAACCTTGACCGATATTCTCTGAAAAAGTCAACAGAGTGCAACTATTCCAATCCCTAAGGATACTTCCAATACCACCAACCGAGTCACTTAACCTTACAGCTCCATCGACGTTCATCTTCAAAAAATCAACAGGGGGGTAGCCAGCAAAGCACAGAGCAATCCTTTAATTCAGAAACCGAAATTCCATCTGCAAGTGAAGGATCCCCAATGAGCAAATCCTCCTGTATAGGAATTTTGAGAGAGTGAGCGTGGCGCATGGTATTGGTTCTTCAGACAGAGGCGGAGCACTGCCTGGCGAAGGAGTATGGGTTGCTTTCATTGATAATCTTAGTAGGAGAGTTCATAGAAGTGTTTTATGGGAGCGTTTTAGTTATTTCGGCAAGGTGATTAAAGTTTTCATTCCGTTTGTCAATAGAAGACCAAAGTACAAGGACTATACATTCGCCTTTGTGCATTTTGCAAGTAAGGAGGATCTGTTCTATGCAAAGGATAGGATGAATAACGTTGTGGTAGATGGTAGGAAAATATCGGTGTCGATTGCAAAATATCAGAAGAGAGGCTTTCTGAGAGGCCGTGAGCAAGTTCCTGGAGTGGGGTCAGGAGTGGTAAGAGAAAAGGAGTCGCGTGGGAAGAGATCAATAAGCCTTGTTGAGACTAGGAAGAGGGAGTTGCTTAGTAAATTTCATGATGGAAGATCTTACAAGGAGTCGGTAGTGGGAAGGGATTTTATGGAGAACCAGCAGTGGAATAGTGGTTGCGATGTGAAGGGGGGGTAAGAAGACTTTGGACGTGCATATTCCATTGGAAGAAAGAACTTGGTTAAGATCATCTCTAACTGGTATATGTAAGCATATTTTCGAGGTGGAGCTTGTGCAAAGAAGTTTAAGGACTAAGGGCTTCAATGTCAAGGTGGTAAGGTGGGGTTTTGCGAAAAATGCCTGTCTGATTGTCTTTCAGTCGGTGGAAGAGAAAACCGCAGCGGTGAAGGATAAATGGGAGGCATTGTCTTTTTGGTTCGATAGGTTTTGTGCCTGTTATGGAGGAGGAGGGTGTTCCTTTATCTTTCTGTGCAGTTTCCTTGATGGGTGTCCCTCTGAATTGCTGGTCAGTTTCTTTCTTTTCTAGCTTGGCAGAGAGATGGGGCAAGTTAGTAAAGATTCAGGATCAAACTGCTCAAAGAGTGGATTGCAGGGTGGCTCAATTGCTGATAAGAGTGGAAAGTCCGTTTGATATTCCGTCCCAGGTAGTCATTAATACATATGGTAGATCCTTTATTATTAAAATCAAAGTGGAAGGCTGCGATGAGTTCTTTCTGGAGCTGGATGATGGAGTGGAGGAAGCCGGTTCTGTGGAAGGACGAGTCGGTCCGGGGGAAGAAACTCATTCGGAAGGGAACAAAGGAGACGATAGAGAAGAGCTGCAAGGACGGTTGAATTTTCAGTCGATGTCAGGCGCCTGTCATGGGGTTGACACGCTGTTTGAGGGAAATTTGAATTTAAACGTGGAAGTCAATGATATTATAGGGACTGTCCAGAGTGATCAAGGGACAGTACTAGGTAAGGTTAAAAGTAAGAAGAAAGTGTCAAAAACCCTTTCCGCAGAGAGAAAAAAGGATGTGCAGTTTGGGAGGTGAATCCTCGGGGCAAGATAAAGGTGTCAATGACTGTGGGATTAACCCTAAAACGGGCAGATATGTGAAGATTGGGCCTGAGCAGATTGGGTATATTTCTCCAGCCCAGTGTTGTCCTGTGGTTAATGAAAGTAATTTCCGGGACCAAACTCTATTTCAAACATATGTGGATAATAGTAGTTTCATGGGGGAGGAGGTGAAGGAAAACAGCAAGGATTTGGAAGAGTGGGATAAGGGCGATAAAGAATGTAAATCTAAAAAGGCTATTAGCAATCCAATGGGGAAGAGGTGTAGGAGATGGAGAGTGGGATATCAGGTTTCGAAAGGATTGTCAATTAGCAATACTTCTGAAGGTGTGAGGGGTTGTGGACGTTTTGTTAGGGTGTACAGAAGGTCGAAAACAAGAAGAGTATGGCTATGTTCAGAAAATAGCCATAAACAAAGTCAGATCAAGCTGGTTCTTCATAATTTTAAGCAATTTTCTTCAGCTTCAAGGGATAGGGGCCAAGTCAAGTAGTCAACAGGTTCTGGTCAAATTCAGAATACTTCTACGGGGCATATGAAGAGCAGTTTTTCTCCAACCAGGGGGGGGGTAGACCCGTCTATTATTTCAAAGAGTCGAAGATTGTACAGAAAGAAGAGAAGAGGCTTAATCACAGATGCTTTGGCAAGTGCACAAGTGTCTACAGTCTATTCTCGGTCCTTCTCTAAAGTTTTGGAGGAAGCATTGAATACTTTGGAAGTTTGTCAGAGTTTAGGCATTTCTTTTAAGGAAGGGAGGGAGGCTTTCATGGATAAAATTAGAATGATGGAGGAAGGAGCAGGGGGGGTCAATGAAGCAGGTCAGTGAGCCAGTTTTCTGTGTCCTGAAGGTTTCGGCAGGAAGTGCATATGATGGAGTGCAATTTTATTTCGTGGAATGTTAGGGGATTAGGTAGAAAGGAAAAAATTAGAGGGGTGTCGAGACTTGTAAATAAGATTAAACCGGTTATATTGTTTTTACAGGAGACAAAACTAAATAAAAGTCGGAAGGGATTGAAGAGGAAGTTAGGAGGAAAGCTATTGAAGGGAGCAAGTTTTCAGCCAGCGGATGGGTCTGCTGGTGGATTGATGTGTTTGTGGAATGATAATGTTTTTGAGGCAAATGAGGTGGGCAATCATAGTAGATTTCAGATGTTAAAAGGAAGGTTCAAGGTGTCTAAGTTGGAGTGTGTTTTTATTAATGTATATGGCCCATCGGTTGAGGAAGAAAAGGAGTTTTTTAGTCAGCTGTTGAGTTTTGTGCATTCGGTTGATTTGCCTCTCTGCATTGGGGGAGATTTCAATGCTTATCTCGAACAAGAGGAGAAGATTGGTGCCTCTCAAAACTGGCATTCAATGGGTCTGCTAAGGAATTTCCTGCAACAGTCAAATCTAATTGACCTCCCTTTGGTAGGTGGCACCTTCACATGGGGTAGTAATAGAGAGGTTACCACATGGGTAAGGCTGGATCGTTTCTTATTGAGCAGCAGCTTCTTAAGGTGCTTCCCCAAGGTGGTTCAGAAACTACTCCCTAGATCTCTTTCTGATCACAACCCGATTCTAATGGCGGAAGATGGGAAGAATTGGGGACCGA